AGTCCTTCATTTTAACTATTTTTTATATGTAAATATAAATTATCGCTAGGTGGGCGGTCTTAAATTATTACTAAAAATATTTAATACAATATGTTAGCTAAGACAGTTGAACGTATTAATATTGAAATTTCAATTGGCTCATATGCAAAAACACATTTTTTTTTTTAATTTTGGTGTCACATTGTCCTGAATGATTGAAACATCAAATAATTCACAAAGTTAGCAATGGGGATTTTCTTCGGAAAGTAAAAAATTAGAGAATTAGAATTATTAGAAAACGCTTCTAGATCATTCTTCAAAGATAGTCTTCATATTTAATTAGTTATATTTTCTATCTACAAACAACAATTTTCTAATGTTTGTGATATTGCAAATGTAGTCTAATAATTATTTTTTATTATATGTATTATAATTCTTGAAGGTTTACGTGATTCTGTTACCGCAACATTTCAACATTCCATTATTATTATTGGCTCGGTTCATTTCAGTAATTGAAGTTAAATCAGTTAATTTATGTATTTTTCCAGTAATTCGCATTTCAACTCTTCGTTGTTAAATTCATTGACTTGTGAGAATTTATAGTGATTGTCTCGTTGATTACTTCGCCTACTTTATGCCTTTATCAAACCGTGAAGCGAATTCAATATAATATACAATCGGAAACTTTTATCTTTAGAAAATAATTTATCGGCAATTATATGAAATTGTTCATTAAAGCAAATAACTGAATAACTTTATGCCGGTAATGAAATTTTATTTGTAATAGTTGGAGAAAAGTTGTAATGTATTTTATTTTCTTATTTGAAGTTTAATCTTGATAAAATTTCATTTCTTTTGTTTTTATATATTAACGTGCAAGAATTAAGTATTGCTCATATGCATGCAGGTTATATTTTTAATAAAAAAAATATATCCTAGTATCACTTGATATTGCGGTTTGGAAAATAGCCACGAATAACCAGAGTAGACTACCTCCTTAAAATTTGAAGCTAAAACTACTGTTACTTTACTAAAAAATAGATGAGAAAATAAAGACGTCGAGAATTTCTATGCTATACAAATGAAAAAAAGCTTAACTCAATCCATAATATTTTATAAAATGAGTTTTATACTACAGTATTGAATGATATTTTGAGAAGTTTTCTTATAGAAAATGTTGATTTTTATAACTAATAGTATATATAATTTTTATCAAATAATAAGATATGTATAGAATAGTAATTCGCAAAACCTGTTTTCATAGATTTTTTCGTACTTAATAACAATAGTTTCATATTCAAGGAGTACTCTAATTTCCATAAAAAAAAGCTAAATGTCTGATATCTTATCAATCGAAGTTTGTTTAATAAATATTACAGTATTATATTGATTTAAGTGCAATATTCAAATATTTTATGTTAAAATAATATATTCCTGTTTATAATAAATATTAGGTTGGGTTAAATTATAAAATTAATTATAAAAAACTGCCAATATAATTTACTCTGTCGGAACAAAAATTCTAATTATGAACATATTTATTTCTAAAGAATAATATTATATAAAATACGATATTTAAGTACGATATTTAAATTTTTTTTTTTTTAACTAAAAACAAATATCAAATATATTTATTAAAATAGTTCAAATTATTTAATAATATAAAAGTGTTTATATAATTCATATTGTTCTTATATAAAATATAATACATAAAATTAATTAAATTTGAATAGAATAGAATACTTTCTTCAAAATCTATATTGTAATTTCCTTTCGTCGACGTCTTTTCAAGCACTGATTTTAAAATTTTTTAAAGCCATTCGATGTAACTCGATGAAGACTTGCTTTACTTTTTTGTCATGTTTTTTACGACAATTGCCCAAAACGTTTTTTCATAATCAAAAAAGTGCAAAATTTTTCGACTTTGCAAAAAATTTTATTCCAATTTGAAACGTTTTATAACCGTTTAGTTTTTCGCAAAGATTGGCTAGGCCATTTCTTATAATTAAATATTTATTTTCGTTTTTTTTCGAAACTAACAGGGTCATAGAATCCATTGTCCAAAACTTAGAAGTTTGAGAGCCTATGGTCTAAGCAAATATCCTAAATTTTTCTAGTCCTACAAAAAGTGTTTGAATTTTAAAAATCATATTTTTTTCTAAATAGGTAAATATCAATTATTATTAATTATTTAACATGTCAAAAAGTTCTTGCGTCTTCTATTTAAAATATTAAGTACGCCGAATAAAGTTAGGACTATCAAGATATGTTTCTTTAGTTTGTTCCTTCACTATGAGAAAATTATGTTCTATACCAATGATTAGAAAATCTCAATTTACCTTTCCAGCACTTTTCACACCTTTCCAGAGCGAAAAATAAACTAAGACGAACACTCCAAAAACACAAAGGGCGAGGGATGGTTTGATAGGTCCCATCATATCAAGCCCATCTGAACGATATTTTTCTAGTACGTTGCGCCTGAAAGTCAATAATAAACGCATCAGTGATTTTTCATTAAATATTTTGTGTTTTTCAATGTTTTCACCTTGCATTAAAATTTATTTACACCTGTCAAACAATGGTTTGACATTCAAGTTCTTTATCATGTGAGATGAAAGCATTCAAGACATGTAGGCAAGATTTTAGGATATAAAAATATTTTTTTCAAATATGTGTTTTGAGATTCTGATGACTTCTCAATATATTCACACAATTAGATAAGTATTTTGTACGTATTTTTAAAATTCTGATGACTTTTCAATATATTCACACAATATTTACAATATATACAATATATACATGTATTTTGTACAAGTAAATTCATTGCAGTAGTATTAGCACTAATAAAATTAAATATTATAGGTACTAAGTTGTTTGTCTTATACAAAGTTTTTTGTAAGATTTTGTCAAATTTGTCTCATAAGGAACAATTGCAGAATTTTTACATTTGATAATGATATTATAGTTTAGAATAATTATTTTACTTGTGGCAATATTTTTTTAAAAGATATAGTTAAATTTATATCTAGCCAGGCATATCTAGTGAAACATGAAAAACATCTTGGTTTAAAAATATGTACTATGAAATACGGAAATACGTTCTAAATCTATTTCTCCATAATCCTTCAGGATTAAAATTATAAAAGTGCATTAACGAAGATATAAAATATTCATTAACAAGAAATTATTAAAATGTCTTGATTTTAATTACTTTGCAGATCGACAGAAAAATTATTCACGTCTTAGCTTTTTAAGATGTATAAAATTAAAAGCAATGTGATTAAAATCAGTTATCGACTGTAAAGCTGTATTGATAAAATATTGCATTAAGGATTATCATAAAAATCTGAATATTTTAAAATGCTGGGTTCAAATGATTTTTATTATTCTTGAACAAATTTGATCGAATCAATTCGAAATCATTTTTTTTATTAAACTATAGTTCAATGAAACCTTAAATATATAACAATCCTTTTCGCAACTGAGACAACTCAAGTCTGAAAAAAATTAAAACCTTAAATATATAAGAATTCTTTTCACTTGGATTGCCTCACTTGACATGTAAAAATAATGTTTTTAGTGTCAACACACGATAAATGAAAAAAATTATAATTATCAATATAGCATAGATATTTATTAATAGTTTACAAGTTTTTCAGTTTATTAGTTAATATTCATATTGTTTTAAAATTAATATAATTAAAATTCTATTTTTAAGCTTAGTTACATTCATAATCTGGATAGATTTTAGTTGCAAACTAGGGTTATGGGCAGCATGATATCATGCCGTAGTGATAACCGTTTGAAAATATAGATAAAAAAATTGTTTTCAATTTAAAATGATTATATTGTGCACCACAGTGCAAAGTTGTAGATATATATACAAACAATATATACAATTGAGATTGTATTGTAGATAGTTGAATGGAAAGTGATTTAAAAAATCAAAGCATATAGATAAATGCTGTAGCGAGAATAAAAAATGTTATTTTTTATATTTAGTCTAATTATGGATCGTTAGCACAATGTACTCGAAATAGAAAACATAACTTTGTTAACTAAAACATACAGTTTTAGTTAATAAAGATTATAATTTTCAGTGTATTTTAATTTTCAACTTGTTAATTTTGTAATATGGATGGATTTTTGAGCAGCGTTAGGTATGAACAGAACATTTTTAAACCGTTTTTATTTATCCACAAGATTTGGCATACGATTTTATGTCATTGTCTCAAGGGAGCGTTCATTAACCACGTGGGCAAATTTTTAAGGATTTTTGGACCCCTCCTTCCCCTTGGTGATACATGGTGATATTCAAAATTACCCCCCTTCCCCACCAAACATCACGTGTATTTTAAGTTACTTGAAAAAACTGTAATTTTTTTTATTTTTTTTTTTGAAAATGTTGGAATTTTTTAAAAACTTCAGTTAAAAAATAAATACACGTGATATCTTACTGTACCCCTCCCGCCCTCGTGATATTTCATGATTTTTTTTCAAGCCCCCTTCCCCTAAAAAAACGTGATTAATGGACGCCTCCCAAGATGTAAAAAATTTGGAGAATAAGCATTAAGTGCATCAATAATAATAAATTTTATGTATATATCAGTAATTGTAGATTAATTAGTTACTATATTTATTATAAGTTTTAACCAATATTTTGAGAACATGCATTTGAGATAAATTGGTTTCAAGTCATATCATAAAAAACATAGAGCTATTAATTTAATATATGAATACTAGCATTTTGTAATATAGTATTGGCAACTGAAACATATTACAATATACGCATAAAAATGTGTATTCCACATTTCTCTATTTTTTTATTACTTTACTAGCAAACCCAGCGAACTCCGTTTCGCCACCAGATGGTTTCGTGAGAAAGATGAAGAATTTTTTGTTGTTTTATATTTGAAAAGGAAATGAGTAGCTGTCAAACAATGTATCTACCGGCACCATCTATTTAAAATATTGGTTTGTAGTACATGCTAAGTATCAGAGATAACGCTGTATGTGAAACAAGATTTTTCCGCTGTTCTCTTAAATTTTTTCTTCAATTATATTTGCTATAAACCTCACGGTGCCCGAGACCTTTCCAACGAATGCAAAATCGTCGAAATCGGTTCGTGTATTCTTGAGTTATATGGTCAGGATGGAAAACCCGACTTATTTTTATATAATAGATATAAAAATATCATTTATTATTATTACTTACTCAAAGAACTCGGCGGCCGGACTGGTGGAGTTTTCCAACTGCGGATTAGTGACCGGGGTGCAGAACGGCGTGTTCCAGCTGTTCCCGCATTTCGTCCAAGGCAATTCCGAGTTGAAGGATGCAAACAGATAGTAAACTGCCCATCCTATGATCGTGTTGTAGTACATTCCCATGTATATGTCAATCAGACAGATCGCGTAGCCCACACCTGGAAAGCGATTCATTAAGAATATTGATGGAATTTTCTGCTATTAGTTCTGATTAGCATTCATCATTGGGATATCTATTCGGTTGTATTTATAATTAGAAGGCAAAATTAATAAAAATTCTTTAATTACGATATGTGTAGAGGATTGAATTAAATTCATTATATTTTAACGTATTTATTTATATAAAGAATTGAATTATTTCAATTATCCATGTATATAAATTATGAATATAATTGTATATGTACACTTGCACACACACCCACACAATGCCTTAGGTTGCACTTAAACTTAAAAGCTCATAATATTCACACTACATAATTTTTTTTTTCTAATTTTTTCATGACTGTTACGATCAATACTATTACCCCATTTCGGCTTGTCGTTGAGGTCTGGGACACCCAGTTTAATATATATAATATATATATATATATATATATATATATATATATGTATATACACTAGAAAATATGGATATCCTAAATATTGTTTTTCTACAAATCATAAAGAAAAAAGTTACTTATGTTTAACTTACGTAGGCACATTTTTATCTTATTTTTAATTGCTAAACTTGAAAAGAAATGATTATAATTTTATAAAAATTATTCATTTAGTCTTATATCGTTTTACATATTTATGCAACATAATGGTAATAGTACTTTGAGCTATTCTGATAAATCATCTCCTAAACAAAGTAGTTTCTTAAAGGTCTGACGTCAAGCAGTAGTAATAGTTAAAAATGTAGATCTAAAAATGATCTTGATGAATAAATTTGAGAAAAAATAGCCCTTCTTCGGCATGCATTTAAAGAGTTCACTCCTCCTTAACAAAGATTAATTTCGATCCATATTATAATTTCTCTAATCCTAATTTTATAATTGAATGCATGCCGGAGAAGGGCTATTTTTTAACAAATTTATTTATCAAAATCATTTTTAGATCTACATTTTTAATAATTACTACTGCTTGATGTCAGGCTGTTCAATGTAGGTATCAAATCTGAAGTTCTGTGATTGCTAGGACAAAGCTCTTATATATATGCAATTTCAAAAAGTGCAAATCTTTGAAGAAAAACTGAATTTTTAACGACTTTGCCAACTCCTCTGTTTTATTAGGAGAGTTATAGAGAAAAGTGGTTAAAATTAAAATCTCTACTTTACGATTCTCAATGAGGTACTTTGCAAAGAAAACATTCCGGTATTTAAACAGCTATCACTAAGTCAGAGGAGATTGAAACTGAAGCTGGTGGAAAAAATTAAATAGACAAATCTCTCCATGGAAATTCAAATAATCCGAGAAAAGAATGTGGATTTTTATATACAATCACATAATAATATCAATAATATTAACAATAATAATAATAATAATAACAATGAGTAGTACTGCCCTAAAGCAAGTCCGTGAGCTGAGTTAAACCAAATTCGATTCAGGAAAGAATAGTGAGAGAGTTATCACATTGTCATTTCACACCGCAGTACACGAAAATGGGCTATTTTCAATTGGAAACATATTTTTGAACTATGTTTTGAAGTGAAAACCACATACATGATATAAAAAAGACTCCGCAATCAATATAAGGACGCCCCCTCCCCCTTGGTGATACTTGATGATATTCAAAATTACCCTCCCTCCCCCACCAAACATCACGTGTATTTTTAGTTACGTGATGAAACTGTAAAATAATTGATTTTTTTTGAAAATGTTTGATTTTTTTAAAAAAAAATCAGTTAAAAAATAAATACACGTGATATCTGACTATACGCCTCCCCCCTCATCCTCAAACCCCCTTCTCCCTGAAAACCTCACTTGATTAGGACGCCTCCTAAGAATGTATTAAAATTATACATATCGAATGCGTGCATGATAATATGTTCAACTTGATATTTAGAAACAAGTCATTAAAATGTAACTTGAAGGATACTAACGAATATTTTGTTACAAAATACAAAAATGGTGTAAAATGAAGGTATAGCTTTATAGCCTTACAATTTGTAAAATATTCTGATTGACTACTTGTTAATTCACAATGAAACTTAAATTAAAATTACACGTTTATGGAATAATTACGCACAATGTTTGATACAATACAGGTGGCATAGGGTGTTAATGTATTTATCCAATTGCCAATTGCATTGCACTACAAATATTATGCAACTTAAGTTTTAAATATTAATTTTTTGTACGGTAAGTTACAGTAATTGCAAAAAAATAAAAAATTAAAAATTTTATATATCTTTTCGTTTCGAAGGTTCTGATGATAATTAAATTTTTGAGAGAACGGAGCGCCTAATTTGAATGATTTAAAAACATTTTATTTGTATTGACGAAATGAAGAACTGATTAAATTCTTATTATTTATATTTTATTTCCGTATATAAAAAAAATTCAAAAAATTCAAAAAAGTTTTTTTCAAAAATTTCAAAATTCTCACAAATCAATTTTTTCAGCTCTTTTAAAAAATTCAATTTTCGGTACGAGAAGTTCCAGCAATTTGCCTTGAGGTACGATGCCATGCACCACTAGTTTTCCTAATCGATTTGAAAAAGGAATCTTGGTCAACTCTAAGACTGCGATTTTAAATTTGTATCTACAATGTGTCCTTTTCTACCATCGGCAGTACCTCGCAATCCGTGACAAGGCAAAGGACGCTCGACTTACACATAAAACAAACAGTCCGAGTGGCTCGTGTTTACTTTGTCGCGTTGCACAAGGAACGAGATGGGAAATTTTCACTTTGTGATTCTTCACAAGAGATACAGAGAGGACTATACAAGAAAAGTGAAAAGAAACGTGCCAGGAGAAGTATCATGAAAGGAAATGAAGATATTTCTTGTATTTAACTTTTTTTCAACAAACTTTTCTTGGCTTTTGCGAACTAAACGTTATGAGTTTAGAAGAAATTAATTGCTTTTCGATCGTGAATAATGACTTAAAAAAAGGTATGTACTTATGAGTTATTGTGCAATACTTTATAAACATGGTAAATACTCAGTAAATGATACATATGTCATATAAACTAATAGTTTATTTGCCTATAATAATAATATAATCTATATTATATTTGTATTATATATCATACCTTTATAATTTCATCACATAGGTATTTTGTTAATAAGCATATTATACTTTTTTATTATAGTAATTATAAAATGGTAAGAGAGTTGAAAAAATATGTGGATAGAAATAATAAAACTAGAAGAGTCACTACCAACAAATTTCAACTTATTGACAGACATTGACAGATATTGAACATATAGAATAGAGGGTATGCATTTTTAAGAACAAATAAGTAGAATTTATAAGTAATTTAATATAATTTTGATTTGATTTGAGTATATATGTATGCATATAGCTAATGTATTTGCTTATAATGCCAATGAACTAATGAAGAAAACATCTCTTTCATAATATTTATATTTTAATAAACTTAGCAACAAATGGTTGCAAAAAAATAATAGTCTCATTCTTCTCTATTAACTAATGTTATTATTAAAAATAAAAGCATTTGCTCGATTGTTGAAAATATAAGTGGTAGTAAGTCAAAATTAAGTGTAAATTAAATTAATTGACTTTAATTTTATGGTTGTTTTTTTATTAAATATTACTTAATTATAATTAAATAATAATCTAATTTAATTATTATGCAATATTAAAATATTAATTTATAATTTATGCATCATGTAACTATCGGTACTGGTAATCGTTCAGTTGCCACATAAAAATGAATAGTTTTCATACTTTCATTATATCATAGTTATATATTTGACTACAAATTTATTCATTGGAACTCCAATTTGCATAATTTTCATACTCTTGATATCATATGTAAATTTCCAGTTATTTGATTTTAGTTAAATTAAAATAGATTTTGTTACCACAGTATTTGGAAATTTGGAATGAAAACCGACGCTAAAATTTACTAACTACCGAAACGGAAACAGGTCTCTTCCATACAGAATCAATATTTTATTATTTTTGTGTAAATCTCAAATATAGTGTTTGAATAAGATTAAAACGTCCAGTATATTTCACAATCGATTGAAAATATAATAGTGTTCACAAATAGTTTCACACTATTCAAATCTCTCAAAGTTTCCATGAACTTTCACGTGATTCTTGCCTGAAGAGCCGGATTAGTAAATAGATACATTTTGCAGAGCTAGAGATATGGAAATAGATGATAGACGATTAAAGCAGTGAAGTATATCGATATTAAATGCAAGGATAAAGTGAGAAAAAGTGCATTTAATTTGATTTATTATTGTTTAAAAATACATAGAAATTCATTTCACTTCTTTAAAATATTTTGGCACACGCAAACTCACATAAGTTTGTCTAGAAAGCATTTATTTTCATGTTTCTCATGTAAGTACCATAAATATAAAGTACTCAATTCAAACTGTTTCAAATTTGATGTATCTCAATGAGGACTATCGTTTGTCAAATTTGAGCCACGATCTGCCAAGCCGTTTCTTTATAATTTGGAAAAAAGTGTTAAACTTTCACACATTTAAGCTCATACTACCGAATCTATTTAAAAAAATCAAAAACTGTTTGAAACATATTAGTTGGGAATGATACTGATTAGTTTTAGGTGATAATCTACCGAGCCGTGATCTTGTAATAAACAGTTGTAAAAAAAATTAATCCGATTTTTATGGAACTTTTTTGGCAATATATATCATGGTCTTATAAAACCTACTGAAATATTACGGCCTTACGACAAGTGATTTAATTTTAAAAATTCATCAAAATTTGAGAAAATGAGTAGTTTTTTTGACGTTTGTTAAAATTAAAATTAGACGATTTACATAGTATAACGATAGAGTGTTTGTTCGTTTTCAATGATGTGTGATAATCCACTCGAAAAATACTTTTAATCACTCATAAATTAATTTATATTTCATTGATTAAGTCGATTATTTACACATATCGGGAAGTTCATGTAACTTGCCTTAAGGCAAAATAAGTTAGTTTTGTCGCCATGAGAAAGTATCCAATA